GCAGTGGCACCTCCTGCTCAGTCCATGTTGGCTGGTGTATTCTAATGTGAGCAGACATAAAGTTTATTTTCATATTCTGCTGGATATTTCAGCAATTTCAAAAATGTGTCTGGCATGGCAAATACTGTATGTATGACGTAGAACTGCATCTCCACAAAAGTGGAAATACTCTTCAAGTGTTAACTTTTGTTTCTAAAAGTTGTGTGTAAGAACTCTTCACTGCAAGATACAATTCCATGTCATGTTTTTTCCAGAGGGAGTATGAACCAGTATGTGAGGCAGTAAAGCCTCAGTCATGCCCAGTCTAAAGGCTTAGATCTTGGACAGAGATTCTGTCTTTGTGATATTGGTTAATCTGTCTGTGTTTCAGCCTGCACATGTATAGAATGGAGGGTATTTCCCTTTTTTACCATTCTATATTAGATATATACCATTATATATCTAATTTATACCATTGTGTATTTACACATTACAAAGATGCTAAAAATAATTTATCTTGAGTACATGGAAGGGAGCTGCCTCCTTGTCCAACAGAGCTTGATTTCTAGAGAAGTTTTTCCTCTATGTAGAGGAAGGGTGTGTGTGTGTGTATTAGGATGCAAGTATTTTAGATATGCATCCTTTCAGGAACTCACTGATTATTTTATAGATTTTTCTATTTTCTGCATTTTATCTTCATTGAGACACCTGTTTGGAATGTGTCCTTCAGAGGGGTGATTCTGATGATTGCACAAGAATGCTTAATAGATCAAAGTGTGCAGATAGGGTAGAGATACAGATACAAACCACAAGAATATAATGGGTATTTGTTGATTAGCAGGTGTATTAACAGGGGTATTTCTTACTATATTTTGCTGAATGGATCAGTGGTTACTGAATGTATTCTGAGCATGAACATTTCAAGACAGTAGGATTGGTTCATTGTTCCATTACCCTGGTTTTATGGTTTAACTTCTTTGAAATATGTTGGCATAAAGTAGGGGCAAATCAAGCTTTCTCTTGGAAAGGGAATGCAGCAATCATAAATCTGAAAGCCTGAAGTGTGTAGTAGAGCTTCCATTAACCTGCAGACCTGGGTCTCCTCATGTTGGAGGGGCTATCCAGTCTGTATTCAGTCTGCAGAAGTTTTAGTGACCACAGTTCCCCTGAGTCCTCTTTCTGAGCATTCCTTTTCTTGTGAAGTGTGTTGTGCATTTCTCTGTGTTGGTATCAAAGCCAAATGTGTTGGAAACTGGTCTCCAAGGAGCTCTAGACCAGCAGTTCATAAACTGAAGTGTATAATTTAGCTATTCATATGCCAAATACAGAGTATTGGTCACACGGGTATAAAACCATAGAAGGTGACATACCTCAGCCCAGAAAGTCAAGTAAGGGAAAGTGAGTGATGTGGAAGCTTAATTTGGGTATTTTGTTTTGTTAGTTCGGGGTTTCTTTTTGTTTAGCTTTAATTTTTTTTTTTAGCTGATGTGCTTTTTCACTTTTTCATTTCCCAAAAGTATAGAGGGGCTTCCAGGAGCAGCAATGTGTTGTTTACTTGCCAGGCCTTTTTTTTTCTGATGATATTTAAGAGTACACAATAATAAAGTACATTGACATATCTGATTTGTAAATCAAATGGTGTCAACCAGAACATCTTTTGGCATAAAAAGATAATCAAGGACTGACCTACATCTCATGCCCTCTCTTGACTTCTAAGCCTGTTACTTCATAGGCAGATCTAAGGAAAAAACCCAGCCTCGTTGACATATGTGGAATAAGGCACAAACTAACCTTAATGAACCCCTTAATTTAAGGTAAATACCTGCTTCAGAAATGTAATTTGAATTAGAGTGGAACAATAGAGGAATTTGGGGAATCTTGAGCTTTTGTGTCTTAAGGATGACACTTTGTGAAGAGACTGGAAAGAAGGTGACTATAGCCCTGTCCACATAGGTTGAAAGAGTGTTAAATCATCAGAAAAGACAACATAAGCCATGTTAGCCTGTCTCTAATTTATCTTTCTAACTTGCTATTGAACTGTCATATAATAATGTCAGGTTTTTATTTTTTTTTAAATATGCAATTGCAAATAGATATTGTAGGGTTCTTTTATAAACTTTAACTAGGCCAGCTGAATAAAAGTCAAATATTCTTCATTAAGTAGTGTTTTTGAACCTGGTCAGCACTGGGATTTTATATATTAGGACAAATGCAGTTCTTTATTGAATATTGATTAGTCTTTTCAGTAGGTGAGGAATTTTCCAGTGAGGGCATTATTAACCAAAATCACGAATAAAGCTGTGTTTATATATATAAAGATAAATTCCTAATATGATAGAGCAGTTCAGTGCACATACTCTCAATGAGCTCATGCTTAAGGACCATGTCAATTCTTTCAGTTTCTCGTTCAGTATTTTACCTCAGTTTTGCCTTTGTGTAGTTCAGTTTTGCATGAGGTATGACAGAAGGCCTCTACTTACACTTTAAATTATTGATACAGACAGTGCATGCAAAAATCCTGTAATTCTCAAAACCTGTTTTAAAGAGTATCATCTTGTTTTGCTGTTTGGATGGGTAAAACAGCACAACATGGTAATTTTATAGGTAAACCTAATTAAATAGTAGAAAGAGAAATTTCTTAGTTCTCTGAATGTATCATGCACATGAAATGTGATGAGTTAAAGCTGATGATAATTATAATAAACTTCAGCAATGAAATTATGAGTATTACAAGAGGTCTTCTGACTCCTGTACTCACATTCTTAAGATGTAATTTTCATATAACTATTTTGTTCTTAGACTTGAGATTTTTTTTGTTTCTTAAAAAAAAAAGTAGTGTTAGTCTTTTGTTTTATATATTGCTTCTGTTTCATCTTGACAAATGGTTTACTCCTTTTTTAATAAGCCAAAGTGGGTGGGATATAAGACTCTGTACTTCTACATAACTTTATAGACCTTTCTAGAAGTTCTTTAATGCTGGGATGTTATTCTAGGCCTCTGCAAATAACTGAATTTTCCAGTAGTGTGGTATGGTGGATTTGACCCTGGCTGGTGGACACCAGGTGCCCAGCAAAGCCACTCCATCACTCCCTCCCTCACCTGGGCAAGGGAGAAAGGAAAACAACAAAAGGCTTGTGGATCTAATAAGGGCAGGGAGAGATCCCTCACCTGTTACAGTTGATGGCAAAACTGACTACTGGGGAAAATTAGTTTAATTTGTTATCAGTTAAATCAGAGTCAGGTAATGAGAAGTAGAACCAAATACGTTCCACCCATCCTTTCCTTCTTGCTGTGCTTATTTCACTCCTGATGTTTGTCTGCCTTGTCACCACAGATGGCACAGAGGGCCATGGGGAACACCTGCCTCCCCATGCTGGAGCATCTTCTTCCCCTCCTTCTGCACTGAGCTGAGTGTCTGCAGAGCTGTTTCTCTCACATGTTCTCAGTCCTCTCCCTAGATGTAATTGCTGTTGCTCAGTAACTTTTCCTCCTTCTCAGAAATGTTATTCCAAAGGTGCTGGCACCATGAGTGATGCACTCAGCCTTGGCCAGTGCCAGACCCATCCTGGATCCAGTTGGCTCTGGCTCTGCCAGGCATGGGGGATGTTTGCAGCAGATTCTCACAGAAGCCACCCTTGTACTCTCCTGCTGCCTAACCCCTGCAATACAAACCCAATACTCATGGCAACTTGCAACATGAAAAATCACTGACTACACTTTGTGATCCTCTGGTAGAAACACGTGGAGTGTAATTGTGAAGATGAGTTCAGTTAATTGACTTCTGTTTTTCTTTGGTGTTCATTTTTCATGTTTGCTTTAAAGCTATAGCTTTAAAGAAAGAAAAATAATTTGGCCAAGATAATTTCACCTCTTTAAGCTAGGGTCTTGGCAGACTCAGTCTTCTCTTGGCTGTCACACTGCTGTGATTACACAGCAATACATATTCCCTGGACAGTAGTAGAAATAGATTTCATCATCTCCTCCACAATCCTTATTAAGCATACTGTTTTTGTTATGAAGCAGGAAGTTCATGGCTCCCTCTGATGTGGCATGGCAATATGAGAATCCAGGGTCAGTAACTCTGGCCTTGAATTTTTCATGTTCTGAAATGATGATATCACTGTAGTGGTCTGTGTTCCTGGAAAAGTTGTTATGGAAACTTCATTACAGCTTTTCTAAAAATAAACAAACAAAACCCCAAGCAAAACCTTTTTAGAACTCCGAGTGCTTTGTTAGTTTAAAGATTGTGTTAGAGCAATTTTTCACGAGTTAGTTTTAGGAATTTGCTATGCAGATTGCTGCAGTCATGTGCAGGTTTGTGCAGTACATAAAGGTTGCTCATGGACCTCATGTTACTTGCTGTCACTGTTGGGCACCAGGCTTATATAGTGAGGTCCCATTCTGTAGCAGACCTGTGCTAGTGACAGACACAAGGGGGATGTGCAGTAGAGGCACCAGATGTGAGCACCCAGCCTGAGGAAATCCAAAAATAAGGGGAGAAAGGTCCACGTGCAAGGATGAACGACACAAATGCAGAGGGGGGAAAGAAAAAGGAAGGAGAGTGGCATAAAGTTATTTTGTGAAATCTATTCAAAATTCTAACCAGTCTGAAAGCCTCAAGGGGTTGTTGGATCTGGTTGGATCTTGTGTGTGATTGCACTTTTTCTCTAGGGTAGATTTTGAAAGACATACTTAGATTAACAAGGTCCTATTTTATATTTTTCCTTTCTGTGGTGGGTTCTGGCACTGTATTTCTTTAGTCTAGTGCTGCACAGCTGCACAAAAAGCGTTTCAATTTTATGGAGTCTTCATATATTTGTGATTTTAATTTTTTAAATTTATTTTAAAGTTGTAATATACTTTTTTCACTATAATCAGTGATAAATACTGTGTTAATTGAAAAATTTTTAGGGGTTTTATTTTTGGTTCTATTTTCCGCCTTTTATTGTTACCTGATTTTGTCAAGGAAGTTTTCAGAGGAAAGAGAAAATTCAAGTAAATGCAATATCTTCCCTCTACAGGATTTATGAACGTGTCATTGATCCCCCAGAAACGAATTTGACACCTGAAAGCAATTTATGGCTTGGACAGAGGAACAGGAGACATGGTTTCTTTAAGGTAAGCAGATATGAAATGGCACATGAAACAGGAAGGTAATAAATAGTCAACAAGATACTTCCAGTCAATGCCTCAGACTCATGAAGTAGGACATGCATGAAATTTGGTAGGAACTGTGGGCAGTTTGTAAACAGCTTGTTTACAAGGTAAAAGTTTCTGATATTTATTGCAGTTTTGTCTAGCAAGCCACAGCAGCAGTGTTTGTGACAGGGTCCATGGAGCAGCCATAGGCCAATCTGCCTGTGCTCAATCCGGGCTTGGATTTGTTGCCAAGGTGATTTACCATCCTCTTGGCTTCCATGGAAAGCTGTCAGTTCCTAAGACAATTTTGCAAGTTTTCTGAGGATGTCTCCTCAAAGTCTTCAGATTTCCAACAATCTAGGACAATTATGCTTTTGACTTGCATGATAGTCTGAGGGTTGCTCTGAACCTACAGTGCATTTCATCCTCCAGCAGCTGAGCTGTCAGTGTGAAGTGAAATTGATAGTATTATTTTATTCTACAGCTGTTGGTTTTTTACCTCAGCTGCTTCCCACCATTCCACAGATGGTAAACATATGTTTATAGCTACATAGGGAAAGGAAGAAGTTATATTGGAGTTGCCTGTCTTAAATTCTTTCTTTATGCAGGCAGTCAGAGCCTCAGAAATCTGGGATATTATATGTTTGTAAATTAATATTTCTACGTGTTAACACTTTGGAAACAGCAGGGTAGCTAATGATATGCTAATGAGCTGACCATTTTTATTGATTGTAATGAAAGTCGACAAGTGCCTTACTTTGCTTTATGTGTGCTTGAATATTTTACTAACTTTCTTCAGGGCAGAAATATAATTGGTTGTGTTTTTTTAAATCTGCTCGAGAGTTTCAGAAGTCTTACTTTTTTTACGTTACTCGTTGCAGAAACTTGGGATTTTGCCAGTTTGTAAAGAGTACACATCTCTTTCTGCATATTTATATGCTCAGCAGGATTTCCCATTCTTTTTCAGAGCAATTTGTTTCTCTGTTTTAGCATATAAAGAAATAGATATATTTTCCTTAATGTAAACAGAGATCTGCAGGGAAATAAGAGCATTAAAAAAGAATTAGCATTTTTGTTTGTTGGAGCCATGAAAATGTGTGTGAGGAGAAGCAAGTTTGTTGCGTGAATAATTTTTTTCTTATACCTTTTATTATTGATATTGTCACTGTTCATTTCCTTCTCATCTCTCTCTCTCCAGTAAATTGTGGGTGTATATACCTGTGATCTTCACCTTCTGTGCCTCCAGTTCTCAGCTCCATCCTGCCACAGCAGGGAGGGGTAGAGGAAGGGGGATGGAGAGAGAAGAGCCTGGGCTTTGGGAGAGTTTTTCTGGGGGTACTGAACTGGGGAGTTCCCTTCCTAACCCAGCACAGCCTAAATTGGTGGCCAGTGTGTGGCACAAAGGGTGGGAATAACAACAGGGCCAGAGTGGGTTGGTAATTTAGTGGCTTTAGGCATCCGTGGTGTTGGGTATGGAGCACTGGGTTGTTCATGGGAGTGTGGTGCCTCAGCCTCTGTGTGTGCCCTGTGCCCTCACAATGGTCATTCTCAGTGCAGGGAGAGGGGTCAGGATTCCTTTGCTGAGCCGTGTGATAGCTGCTTATCACCTGATAACATCAAGGGCTATGAGGGTTATTTTGGATGTGTGTTCAGTGTTGTTCTCCTACCCTCACCTCGGGTTCTTCTGTGGAGAGTCTGTTAATAATCCTGCCTAGTCTATGGGGTAAAGGCGGGGGGGGGGGTGATTTTCCACAGCTTTTCACCCTCTTTTTCTCCTTCAGGCCGATTAAAACAGATTTTGAGAATTTTAAATTTCGTTTGGACATTAAGGAAAGAGTGTTCTTGTTGGTATGCCTGTTGTGTTTTCTCAGTATGGTCTACAGTACCATGTTTAGAGTCAGGACAGAGATTTTTGGGAGGGCCATTCAGAGATCTGCCCTGAGGGGGAATAATCATGAGTGTCATGGAATGTGAGAGAAAATGGGTTGGTGTTTAGAGAAATTGTCCGCTCTGGTGTTTTGGGAGTTCACCCCTGAACAACTTCAGGACTTTGGCTAAGTGACAGTATTTGCAAGAAGAATGCTGTTGGTGACTCCAGAGAGGAGCAGCTCAAGCAAAGGCAAACCCCTCCATGGAATTGTTTTTGCTCAGGGACTGGGATCCACTTGGTGGGTAATGCAGAGAGACAGGGAAACACGATGTGTACCTCAAGGGGATTTGACTTTTGAATAAGAACAGTCTGTAATGTTGAAGTGTGTGTATAATATTTGTTGCTGCATGGCACTGTCACTGTGTGTCACAGCTGCCATGGACAGGGAGTATGGACTGCTCCAGATACACCAACCATGAGCTCAGCAGCACAGCAGCCCTCCTGTCCTGGGAGATGTCTGGGGTTGACAGAACCCACAGCCATGGTCTAAATGAACTCAACAGACATCTTGCAGGGATGGCTACTGGCTATAGAAATGATACCTGTGATTGTGTATATTTATATATCTGTATAGTTGGAATGGTGTAGGATCTGGATGGGACATAAGTGGTACAGAATAAGGGGTGGATAAATTAAGGCTGTCGTGGTTTATGAGTGATACTCCCCAGTTCAGTGCCCCTCACCAAGACTCTCTCAAATCACACCTTCCTCTGTCTTGCTCCTCCTTTCCCACTGTGGTGGAATGGAGTTCAGAATTAGAGGCACAAAAGGTGAAGATGGTGGAAGAACAATTTACTGGAAAGAATGATGAGATAAGAAAATGAACAGTAACAGCAACAGTATTATTAACAAAAGATACAGGAAAAGAAGTTATTTACACATTCCTGATAATAGATGGTACCAGATGGTTCCCTCCTCCACATTTTCTTGACCATAAGGAACTCTTCCTCCATGGAAGAGAGTCCCTTCTCCTGCCTCCTGCAGTGGTGTGAGTGCTGTAGAATAATCACCATGTCCCAGCCATGCTTTCTCCTGGCTGCTGCAAAAATTAACCCTGTGCTGGACAGAGCCAGGACAGCCACATAAACTCAGAGTTTGTTTCAGGGCTGAGGAATACCATTATCACCAAGTTAGGAAGCTTAAGAAAATGCAACTGAAGGGAGAAAAAGACTGATGCCAGATATCTACGAAACACTCTCTAGGATGGATCTGATTACTGTCAGGATCAGAATTATCTGCAAAATCTGTTTTATTGCTGAGGAGAGCCCTTCCCCCTAAGGATTCCTCCAAAGAGCTAGTGCAGAAATGAGCTTATTAATGCCTTGGTGAGAAGGTGATTCATGTTGCAAGACAGTAGTTTTCATAACTACTAGAGCAGGCTCTATTGATCCTGCTTGTGTCTAGGGATTGTATATTAGGTGCTGGGGAAACATATTGGTATTTTTATTGCACAGTATCCTGTATATAATTTATACAGCCATATGACTCTGTAATAATTTTGGACTCAGAGTTGTAAGGACTAAGGTGAACTCAGTGTTTCAGGCAGGCAGGTGTTTGTTCAGGTGCCTGGTGTGGCTGCCCTGAGAGGAGCAGGAGATCAGAGCTGCTGGCATGGCTTTGCCAAGGCACAGGAGCTTCAGGCACATCTGCTGGTGCCACCATGGAGAGCCTTTCCCAGCCCTGGCCAGTGCAGCTTGCACAGCTGCGTGCATCACATTATCTCTGTGGGAGAAGTAGGTTTTAAAGAGGATGAAAGGCAATGGAGGAAATGAAAATGCAGAAGTGGAGAGCTCATGGAATATATGAGCCTTTTCACAGAATGTGGGAGGACTGTTCTATTTAGTAGATATGTGAGAAGTGCAGTAAACTGGGCTTTTTGCATTATGTTCTCATGGGATGGACCTGATATTTAGTTCTGCAGACCTGAATTTCATCTTGTAGGTAATCTGCCTGCACCAGATGAAGGCTCTTCAAGCTAGCAAGTCCTGATGCTGAGCTGAAGCTTTGATTGTCATTAGCCAAATGTTTTTATTGATAACATAAAGGTGATGTCTGCTTAGGAAGGGAAAAACTGGAAAGATTTTGACCACTGCCATCACACTGTTAAGGACAAGTCCAAGCTCCTGGCAGCCTAGACTTAATGCTGAAGCAGGAATAATCAGAGTTTTTTCATATTCGTTACAATAATTATGACTGTAATAAGTGTTTGCCTACAATGAAGTCTTTCTATTAAAAAAATACATCAGCAAAATTTGTGCCCTTGGAAAGTTTATTTCTATGTTTGATCACAATAATTCATTTTCAGATGGTTTATAGACCTAGAGGTTATCTATGTTAGTGAACTGAAGTTCGTTTTCATATGTTATTACAGAGTAATATGCTTTCAATGTAGCCAGAAATTAAGACACATATAATAGTTGTATTTCCTCTTCGGGCTATATCTAAATGCAAATCTGTCCAAAAGACAATTGAGCAACGTGACTGATGCAACAAACATGTTTGAAATGCACCTAAAGGAAAAAAAGCAAAAAAGGCTGAAGAAAAAAGTCACTTTTCTCTGGATGGTGTCTCTTTAGCTGGGCAATATAGTCTGGTGGAACTTAGTAATTTCATTTGCTCTTGGTTTTCACTGCAGAGGCTTAAGTGTTGAAATATAGTTTTATGCCTCACCTTCTAATTTCTCACTGATGACTGCTGATGGAAAGTGTGTAAAATGGCTTTTAGGATGTTCCATTTCCAGTGACAGCATTACTTCTTACTACTTAATGGTTTCATTATTCTCATAGGTGAAAAGGTTAATAAAGGTATATACTTCTGCAAGAAGGACACGGTGATCTGATTATCTCTATTAATATTTTCAGTTAATATTTGACCATGAGACAGTAAGCAGGAAACAGTGCTTGCTGATTACATTCTACTCTTTAAACAGATGAGCATGTAAATGTTACTGGCCTTGCCAGGCTTTAAGGACTATCTGAGGCTCTATTTATGGGTGGAGTGTGAGTGCCTGTGAGCAAGTGATGATGTCCTTGGTCTGCAAAATTCACCCTATTGCAATTTAACTGAAAATTAAAGCACAATTTGGCAAATCAGTAATTTAATTAGATAATAACTGCTGCCATGATAAATTTCTTTTCAGATTAAAGAAACTTTTCTTTGTCTGTGAGGAGACAGAGCTGTGTCACAGCATCTGATTAACAGTCAGGGGAAGTGACAATATCAGCACTGATTTCCCTTGCTCCTTCTCTTAGTGGTCATGACATTATTAAGGCCAGTGGATCCTGTGAAGTAAATACAGCACACAGTCACAGATGCAGCAGATTCTTTGTCCTGAGATTAAAAGAACAAACACGAGCTTCAGCCTTTTCTGGACTGGGTTCTTCAGGGCACACTGGGCACCTCTGCTGTTTGCTGCAGGAGCTGCACAGGCTGCAGCAGGCACTGGACCTTTAGGTGTGGTTTAGGACAGCCTGCATTGACCCTGGGGCAGCCCTGCACAGGGCATGTCCCTGTGAGCCTGGGCCAGAGAGGATTTCATTGTGACTGAAGGCACCCAGACTGCCTGGTGAGACACACAGCTAAGGAGGCTTAATGAAACCGAGCACTGGAGGGGTAAACTGTCACATCTGGCACTAGGTACTGTCCTTTCAGTGTTTGATTTCACAGTCTGACTTGGCTAAAAAAAATAGAGTTTTACTGTGTTTTCTGTTTGTCTTCTGGAAAAGTGTGTCATCGGCTTGAGCAATGGATATTATTTCAGTGCTTTTTTCACCAGTCTCACCCCGTTTAAAGACATTTAAGCAGCTTATATTGGGTGATTACAAAAGAGAAAGCAGTATTATTGCTGTAATATCCAAACACACAGAGATAGGAGGAGTTGTTATATTTCGTTCATCTTCAATTATTTTCCACACAAGTAGAGTGAGCTGGTAATTTTTTTTTGTATCCACTGAAGAAATTACTTGTGAAAGAACTTGTACAGATTGAAGTGAATGTTTGTAATCTGTATTACCAATTTTCTCTTTTTTTGCAAAGGGTGTTATTCAAGATGTGAAAGTCATCTTTATACCTAATGGATATATAACACAGTGTCCTAATCTGAATCGCAGTAAGTAGCAATCTTTTTATTCTATTTTAGATTTTTCATTCAGATTATTTTTTTGCTTTAAAAATAATACTTTCAGGCTTGTTATTTTTGCACGTGCTGACTTCCAGAAGGCAAAAATTCCATATAAACAGATTGCATTTTATGTTCAGATAAATCTAGTATGATAGATTGTTGTTTATTTATGGGTTATTGTGTCTTTCCTTCTCTTCTTTTCGGTTTCTTTTTAATCTTTCTCTATTGAGCATGCCCAACCTGCAGTGATTTCTTAAGTCTGGTGCAAGGAATCATGGATTTGCAAGAACTCCTGGCAAAAATGACTGCAAAAGTAGGTACCTAAGCTTTTTTTTCAGTTGTCCATTTCCTTCCTTTCCTTCCCTAAGACAAAGATGAAAATATTTATTCTGTGTGCCATTCTTTATACCATGAAAATGATTCTAAATTTTCAGAGTAGAGCCAGTTTTTTTCTTGCTGTCTGCAGTAGTCTTATGGATATAGCTCCATGGTTGTTCCTTAAACTTAATAATGTTTCTGTTGTCTGCTTTATTATTTGTAAGGTAGTGATAAACTACCCAGAGTCTGATTTTTTTTTTTTTTTTTTTTTTTTGTAAGAAGCCTTAGCTTGATTTCCCATTTCATGCTGAGGGATAAATGCAGACACAAAAGAGTGAAATCCCTCAACAATTTCCTGACCCTGTGATTCTGTCAGAGGGGGATGTTTTCTCTTGGGAAGTCCTGTGAGGTCTTCAGGACTGGTGTGGTCTCTCCTTCCTGGGAATGGAAATGAGGCTCCAAAATGGAAATGTCTGTGAACCTGCTGACCTCGATAGCCCCTTTGATCAATGATTTTTATCAGTGTAAAAGTTAATTCAGCTCCAGGTGATGTGGTGTATGCTTGGTTTTGTGGTTTTTTTAAATTTATTTCTTCTTGTTCCCCCCAGCTTTGGATCATGAATAGGATGAATGGGAATCTAGAATGCTGGGGATTTTTTTGTTTGTTCGTTTGGAATTTTGGAAATTGTCTCTAGATTCTGCTCCTACAATACACAGGCAACCTCAGTGTTAAGCCAAGGCCCTTCAGCAAAGCTGTGCTGAAGTTTTGGGATAAGAAACTGTGTTTTAGAGGTGACAAATCCCTGATCTGTGTTAAAGGAAAATCTGAACGCTTTTCGAGGTTAATGTTGGTGAGCCATCTGCCTTATGGTAGAGGGCAGTTAATTGTCTCTTTTGAAACAGCACTTACATGTTAATTAATTAGATTTAAGTGCAGATGCAACCAACCTGTAGATGCTCTTACTCTCAGTGTAGTTACTGCAAGAATTTCCAAAATAGGATTTGCATAGCAGTGCTGCTTATGTAAAAAAAATTATACTTTTTAATGCATTGCCTTCAAATGCTCTTTCCCTTCCCAGTAGGAAAGGGGAAACTGTTTTTTGGAGTGTGCGTGCATTATCCTGGAAATCCTCTTACTCAGCTGACACGCTTTGGACAGGCTGGATCTGAATGCAAAATGTGAAGCTTTTAGTTCAGTTTTCTGCTTGTACTGTGAAAGAGAGGCAATTATTTTGAGCCCTGCTGGTGGTATGAGCAAGTTCCAATTATGCAGTGTACTGAGTAACTTGCTTTCTCTGATGTTAATTATATTTTTGCTTGCTGGTACTTTATGAGAGGAAGCAAGGAGCACAGTATTTGTAGTGCAAAGACTCCGTGCTTTCATAAAGTGGTGCTGGCATAATCCTTCATTGCAAATTCATTTTCTGTTACAGCAGTCCCCTGACTGTTTTGTTGCAGTTGTTTCCTGTTGTCCAGGCAAAATGCATGCAGCAGGAAAGGAAATTAACCTGGTAGACAAATGCAAGTTAAAAATGGGGGTGTGGAGGGAAGCATTAAGGTTTGTGTCTGCCTTTTAAGTCCTAGCCACAATAGCCTGAGTTACTAATGTAGCTACAAGTGTATTTTGTGGGTGTGAGGCATGTCAAGGCTTTGAAGGGCTGTGCCTGCAGAGATCCTGTTTGCCTGGCAGGTGGTCAGAGAATGGCCTGCTAATGCATCCCTGGCTCCTGATCCTGCACCAAGACATGCAGAGCAGGAGCAAGATGTTTTGAAAAAGTGGTTTGGTGTCTGGTCGTTGCTTTTATGTTTTACTATATCCAGGATTTCAGTTTCTCTCTCAACCTGTGTTTGGTTTCAGCTGTATCACAGCATTGAATAGATGAGCAAGTGTGGTTTGCAATTAATGTGTATGTGCAGTTTATATATTTATATGGTTTTAAATGTAAATATATATTTTATATAAATATGTATTTTATATTAAGTGCATATTTTATCTAAATATTTAAATATTTATGTATTTACATAAATTAAAATTATGGAGACTCAGAGCTGGGCTTGCCTGGGAAGGAAACATCCAGCTACTGGTTTCAGGCTCCAATAATTTTTGTAGCTGTGCAAGTTATGCAGAATGAAAGCAAGAAAGGGAGGTTCCCTCCTGCTTGGGCTGTGCCTCTGCTGAGTCTGGTGGGCTCAGGGTGGGACACAGAAGTGGCTCAGCAGAGCATTGTCTATGGCAGGTTCTCTCAGAGTACAAAGAAAGGAGCATTTGATTTGTAGCAAGCTGACCACCCTTACGTCCTCTTCCTACCTATGTTTTGTGAAGAAATAGCTTTTAAAGGCTAATAAACGCTAGCTTTTAAAACTTATTTTATTTTTGTCATCATTTGAATTAATGCTGAATCTTTCCAGCAGATATTGATTTAATCTTGTGACCTTAAATAGAGACACATTGTATGTCAGGGTGTGAGAATATGGCTAAAATGTTAATTTGCTGCAGGAGAAAAGGATTGTGTTATATTGCAGCATTCCCCACTGCTGGGCTCGAGTACTGTTAGTTCCTCTTTAAATGTAATGGCCAAAATAATTCATGTGGCTTTAACAATCTACTGAAATCAGTCTGGGCATCTCCTGCCCTTCTTTGAGTGGAATATAACTTTTTTTGGTAAATGGTGAGCCTCCACTAGGGTGTGCTTTGTATTCAGATGTGTTTGTTACATGAAGACTTCCAGATCAGAAATTTCTACTGAGTCTTTCCTTGCTGGAAGTCAAAAAGGTTCAAGCTTGACTTTGATTAAAATCAAGAAAAATCAAGAGCTTGAGTTCATTTACAGACTAGGCAATCTGGTTTATTTAGATCATGGGTTTATACAGCCAGGAATACTTTTATGAATCACAAAATTTTCCATGTATTTTTTTTTTAATTTCTTGCATTTATTTTGCCAGAAAAAAATAATGTTTTTTTAGCAGAGACCTGTCATCTTTCAGTTATTTGTATGGGCAGGGAAGGAATGCACATATTGACTGCTAAATATTAAGTTTGTATTTCTGTTGTAACAGCAAGGAGCGTTCAGAGCTAGCCACGAGCCCAGGGTTTACTCCAGGAGTGTGGTTCCTCCATTGATCATAGTGTGGGATGGCCATGTACTAACTCCATCAAAATCTGAGGAATAGGGTCAGTTTATACCTGCTGATTTCCTGATTCAGTGTTTCCAAGGTTGTAGTCAAAGTTGGTTTGGCTAAAAATAAGTATACTGGTTTTTGCTTTATAAAATCGTGTTTGAATTGCAGAAATCTCATCAAGTTACTTTCATTTATAGTTAAATTATGCAGAAACAAGACTGAGTCAATTGGAAGACTGTCATTGTGAGAAGACTTGTCAAGTAAATGGATTGATCTACAGAGACAAAGACTCATGGGTTGAAGATGATCACTGCAGGAATTGCACATGCAAAGTAAGAATTTCTGAAGAGTTTCAAGGATAGGATCTAATGAAAATGTGAACATGGCCTTTGAATACATAATGTTCACTCTGAGAATTACTGTGTTTTTAGTATGCATCTAGTGACAGCATGGACAATAGAGAGGGAAACGGTAAAATACATAAAATTTTGACATTGATTATTTGTAAGCTTGATACATAAAATCTGCTTTCCCTCGACAGTGCTTTCTTATTTGTTCTAATTATAGCTGTGAGGACTTTGTGGTTTTGGGGTGAAGGGTTGGCATTGTCTGGGTTTGGTTTGGAATTGTTTTCACTGCATTAGCTTTTCCAAAAAGGAGGCATTATCTTAATAGTATTCATAGATGCTTAGTTGCATCTTGCATGGTAACAACTTGCAGATTCGTTTTCAGCATTTATCAGACTGAACAATACAAGGGACAGAAAGAGAATTAGTATGTAAAACTTGTATCTTTGAAATTATTTGATAAATATCTGAAGAGAGCTTTTGTTTGCTCAGGAAAATAGAAGCCTGATTGTTAAAAAACTCAAAGATGATTGGAACAGCATACAGAAAGCAGGGCTTATGTTCTTGACTTATGTTTTCCATTTAATGTATTTTGCTCTGGGAGTGGGGGGTAAAATCGGTAATATGTATCAAAATACCGAAGACAATTCACCTTCAGCTGCACTTGGGTTCATTTTGTAGTTGAGTGGGATTCAGTCTGCCGCTGAGGGCTGGGTTTGTGACACAGAAAGGTGTTTCCATTTACTTGGCTAGCTGTTAGTGTGTTGAATAAGACGCCGAGTGCAGCAGCAGCGTTTGACCCGCGTGTCGCCCCCTTTGCTCAGGGCGGAGTTGTGGAATGCCGAAGGATGTCCTGTCCCCCTCTGGAATGCCCTCCCGACGGCCTCCCGGTGCACGTGGAAGGCCAGTGCTGCAAAGTGTGCAAGGGTGAGTGCAGCACACACACAGACACAGACACAGA